TGGAGGGAGTCAGCCAAGGAATTCTACTGGCGTCTGGCACGATTGTCATAATCAACGAGCAACTAGGAAAAACTCCTGGATGCGCGCTGTTCTTGTCGTGAACGGAATTTTTCTCTTTGGCATTCTGTTAGAAACCGTCTATATTTTGCTACGAGCCTGGAAAGAGGATAGTTTCATGAAAAATTCCAAGTTTCTAAAGGCTCACCTGAATCCCTTCCATGCCGACTCGCAAAATGCTACCACATCGACTCGGTTGAGACCCGAACCTCCGCAGCAAGAAGAAAGAACAGAGCAAGAAACGAACGTCCCACAAGAACTGCACCAGGAAGAGGAAAGTAAAGAACATGAAACGAACATCCCACATCTGCCAAGCAAGCCTCAACAACTTCAGAAACCACCGCTTCAGAAATTCATCGAGGATACAAAAGAAATTATTAAAGAGGAGACCAATCAAACTCCCCAACTCCGGTCGCCTTTTTCAAGTACTCCAGGCGAAGGACACCGAGTTAAACATTTGACTCTGGATCAGATTTACACAAAACTTGTCGTTGTTCCAGACATGGCTAATTATGACTTTACTGGAGACAGACTGGAGAAACTAAAAGTCTACACCAGATCGGGTGGGGAAAACACAACACCAAGAGGGCCGGAGGACATTCTTGACCACGAAAACAAAAACGTTTTGATTGTTGGTCGTCCCGGAATCGGAAAGACACTATGCTGTACCAAACTCCTCAGAGACTGGGCATTTAACAAAGTATTCCATGAATCACCTGATTCCAAAATCCATTTTGATGCTACTTTCTTCATCAAATTCAAAGCATTCAACGCGGCAAACGACCTTAGCCTCCGGGAACTGCTCTCATCATCAGAACATTCCCCCTCACATCCCATGGATGATGAAGTCTGGAAATACGTCCTCGATAACCCCCAAAGAGTTCTCATTATTTTCGATGGAATCGATGAATTTAAACATAATTCAAAAATCGGCGAGGAAAATTTCGAGCCTAAATTCAGAAACCGCGCAGACGAGAAGATGCCCCTGTACGCCTTGTACGAGAAGCTTGCGACTGGGAAACTTCTCAACGGGGCTGCCGTTTTAACAACCACAAGACCCACGGCTTTGTCATGCATCGAATGTGTTTCTTTCGATAAAATCTTCGAGGTCCTCGGCTTCTCGTCCGAACAAGTCAAAGAATACGTAACCAAATTTAGTGCTGAAGAGGACAAGGATGCGGGAGAAACACTATGGCGACACATCGGCGGCAACAGGAACATTCTCTCTCTATGCTACATTCCTGCGAGTTGCTTCATCATTTGCACAACTCTGTTACAAATGGTGAAGTTCTATGGTTCCAAGAGTCTTAGCCTACCAACGAATCTAACGGTTATTTACAAGAAAGCAGTGAAAATTTTTTAC